TTATTTTTTAAACCAGACATGCAGTTCTTGATATCTAGAATATCAAGTGGAAAGGCTGTGATTGTAGGGTTCCTAGAGATGTCTGGAATAATAGTACAGTTTGAAAATTTCACTGGTGTTTAGAAGCTCTTAGCTATGTGGGCATATAGGCTATTACTTACATGATTACAATGCATTTTCCCCTGTTGCTTGCTGAATACTCCTGGATCTGGATAGGTGGACATCAGTTAAGTATTTGAGATAAGGCTAATAAACCTAAGATGAATGCTTTACCATGGATGTTACATGTTCTTCAAGGTATCTCATTATATATCCCTCAGGTTTAATTTCAGAAAATCAAAACTATGGGCCTTTGCAGACTGCTAGAAATAGTGCACATTGAGTCCACTTTAAGGGTTAGGGTTAGGGTTAGGGAATCATGGGAACTGTATTTTATTGTGGCACAAGAGCTCTCTGACAGAGAAGGCTCAATGACTCAGAAAAAAAGCAATTCCCATGATTCACTAGCATTAACTCTAACCCTTAAAGTGGACTCATTTTGCACTATTTCTGGCAGTCTGCAAAGGCCCTACATTTAAGAAATTTATATGGGGCCTTCATCAACCCAAGTTTCACTCAAAAAATGCAACTGTCATTTTCAGAAGGTGGGTTTAATTTTCCAGATTTCAGTTTGTATCATAAGGCTGATTTATACAAATAACAGCCCAATGCAGATGCTCCTCCTTGATTATTTCTGAAAACAACTTACTTAGAATCACTTTTTGGATGGACTACCTTAAGTTTAAGGAAGAAATGGGCAGTGGTCTCTGTGATCTGTTGTCAGGATAACCTGGTTTACAATCTGTTGACAATTAGAGTTTTTTATTTATTTACAAATGCAATAAATAAATAAACATAACTTGATCTATATCAGGGGTCAGCAAGTTTTTCTTACCTGAGGCCGGTCCGCTGGCCTCCAGGTCTTCTGCGGGCTGAGGGGGGGGGGAATGGCAGCTCACACGCTCACACACACACGTGCATGGCCCCCACCAACCGCCGCCACCCCTGATGCCGCTGCGCACACCGCCGCCACACCGCCCCTGCGTGCAGCTCGTTTGCTTGCTTGTAGTCAACTATTTCTCAAAAACATGTAATTGTTAAGCCCCATACAATCCTGTGTTCTTACACAGGCATGTGTGCATCAGCATACGCACATACAGGATGTGTAAATCCCTGTTTTAATTTCAATGAATCTTTTTCCAAATCCCACCAGCATCTTCTCCATCTTCTTGTTTTGTTTTTACTTTGTGCTTTCCTTCCACACTTCAATGCATTAAAAAATAACTACACATTATCCTCTATTTGCTCATTTGTGTGTGCAATTACTTAATTTATATAAAGTTTCCCATTGAATCAAAATGTTTCTGAACAACTTCTACCAATTATATCATTTTAGGCTATTAACATTTAAAAATATAGTTCCAGCCCCCCCCCCCACAACTTGCAAATATTCGAGCCCCATTCAAACTAATGGTGTGCGTGCCTGTGGTGTGCATGCAAGGCCACGCACACAAGTGCATGGCCATTTAAACTCTTCTTTCCTCATGAAGAGCGACACCATGGACTCAAAGTCCATAAACGAGGAGGGACAACTGTATGCGCACATGTACGCACACACACATATGTATGCACAGGAAAACACACATACACACAGACATACAAGATTGCCCCACAGGCCTTTTTTCAAGCAAGTAGCATATATAATAAAATAAATAGTAGATTTGAACCAATTTAGCATTCATTTGTGTTTCAAGGGATAGAAATAACTCCTATGGAGTCAGTCTTCCCCTTGGACTATAATGGAGAATGAAGTTCTCTCAATGTTACCTTTCACAACAAGGATGGAAAATTGCCTCCCTCCCACTGCTGTTTTGGATCACATTCCCTTACCATTAGTTGTCCTGATGTGTACATTTGGAACTTGAAGTCCAAAACATCTGGAGGCCCAAAGCCACTACTACTGGTCTGGTTTCTGAGCAAAATTCAAAGTATGGTTAAAATGTATAATCCCTATACAGCTAAAGTTCAGACTATCTGAAAGACCATATCTCCTTATACGAGCATATCCAAGATTTAAGATCTTTGAGGGAGGGCTTTCTCTAGATCCCACCATCATCATAGGGTTGGAGCCCTCTCACCTGCTGCTCCCAAACTCTCTGCCAAGTTGGCTCCCTCACTGCTTTCTTTTCACAAACAGCCAAAGACCTTCTTATTTAAACACACTTTCAGCTTTTAATTGGTTGGCGTAGTGCAATGATTGTGCTGGTTTTAATGTGTAAGAGGTCTTAATGTGATTTATTTTAATGTGTGGTGCAAGCCACTTTAGGTCTCATATGGGAGAAAAGTGGGATATAAATAAAATAAATATATATTCAAGGTAGAGTGAGCTAGAGTGAAAGAGGAGATAAGTGGATACACATATCTGAATAATGATTAAGGATTAAGGATTTTTTTTCTGACTGCAGTACAGTATAAAGACTATTACCGTATTTTCCGGCGTATAAGACAACTGGGCGTATAAGACGACCCCCCCACTTTTCCAGTTAAAATATAAAGTTTGGGAAGAGTATGACTTCCAAAACTGTTGTTGTTGTTGCTGTGCACCTCAAGTCATTTCCAACTGATGATGACACTAAGGCAAACCTATCATGAACCTCCTTATACCCGGCGTATAAGACGACCCCCCCACTTTAACCCCAGATTTTGCAGGTTAAAAAGTAGTCTTATATGCCAGAAAATAAGGTATATATTTAGAAGTAGAAGGGTTAAGTTCAGTCTATTTAAAGAAGAATGAATGTGGTTAAAGCTGATTATTTTGATTAAACAATGTTTTTGAAAGATTGAAAATTCTTGACTGACTGTAAAAAGAAAAAGATAGTGATTTGAGGTTTGTTGATCTATAAGTCACCATTGTTATGCCCCTATTAGCAGTTAAAAGTACCAACAGATGGTACATTCTTATTATACATTGTTTTTCAGTCAATGCAGCTCCTTAGATGACCATTATCACAGTGCAATGGAAGACATTGGTCTAATGATAATAATCCCTAGCTTATAAATAGAAAACTTTATAAAGACAGAGGATCTGGTCCAAACTCCTTTCTCCCATTTGTTCTTCATTCTGTGCCTAGGAAATCCTTCTACAACACTGACTATTACTGTAAGGGGCAATCTAAAACATTAGCTATCTTGTGCGTAGTAGAAAATGATTGCCTTTCAAGCCAAATGGACTGGCTGTGATTCTTACTTCAGAACCGACAATGCAATAGAGATTGCCACCATATCTAAGGGCAGCTACCCAGTTAGGAATTCAGGACTGGCTGTGTGGCATACACAGCTTTGTCCTCAGAGGGATGGTAAAAGCAAGGGAGAAAGGTTTTTTGTTTTTTGTTTTTTGGGGGGGACACTGCCATTTCTGCAACGGAGCATTTGCCACCTGACATGGTTGTTTCCTCTAGTTAACAGTAGGGTTGACCCTGGGTAGAACCTAATATATTTCATTGTGGATACATTGTGAAGTCAGTGAAGAACCCTCTTCTGATACAAAATCATTATGTCTTCCAGCATAATCCTATGTGTATTCACTCAGAGGTAGATCTTTTTGAGTTAAATTGGGCTTACTCTCAAGTAAACAAGCACTAGAGTTTAAGCAGCTTGAATAGGTCACCATCATCACCATCAGTATCATCTTTGTGTTTTCCTAAACACTGTCTTCGACATTTAACCTTTGTTCATACCTTCTCTTGAGTGCCATAAATAACTCCTGCAGCAAATAAGAATTACTTTTCTTTCAAGTGCCCATGGAAAGGAAGAGATTTCCACTCAGTTTGTACTTTAAAAAAATTAGCATTGGAAAATGTGGCTTCCTTTTTTGTCTGCCTATAAGGATTATCTGCTTTAATCAGTGTGAATAAAAGAACAGAAATTAACTAATGCCACAAGAAATCTCTCAACGCAGAAAACCAGCATTTTGACCAGGATTGCTCATCATCTTGAATGCCTGATTACTTCTTCAGGTAATAATTGTAATCTATACTCTTGACTTAAGAGGCCTCAATATATTAACAAGCAAGAGGAGGGCTTGTTTCCATTCACAAATGAGAGCCATGGTTGCAAATTGTTTAAGCCTGAACTGCTTTCAGTGTATAACAGTAACAAAATACTAAATCCCTGTTTGGACATCTCTGCAATTTAGACTTAGAATTTGTCGGATAATATTTCACACATCCCCCAGCCATTTATATGCTAATCTTTCCAACAAATTATCAGATACAACCTTTTCCCACCATAAACGACCTGTCATATTCATAATGGCATCTGCATTGGATAACAGGGTTCCCCCTCCATTTTATCCATCCTAAACTGCACATCCATAAAGAAACTAATTACAGAGTTTCACAGCTGATAATATACTTCCTTGCCTTCTAATTTATGATGTGCAAAATAGTTCAGATAAATTGGTATCCTGGAATTGAAGGGACTGGGGGAGGATGAAGATAATTGATGGGAAACACAGAAACAGTATTTTCAGTATAATTTTTGCCTTTTTATCATTTCTTGAGAGGAAAAAATACACTAGAATGTGTATCCAAATCCAATTTCTATTTCACAGTACATCAACAGCAAAATGTTTCTTGTGACAACTATCTTTAAACAGTGTACCCCATGTATTGTGTACTAAATGCTTGATCCAGAGATTAGTCATACTTACAGCCAGACCCTTGAAATCAATGAGACTAACGTAATGCCATTTAGATCTGATCTGATCTAAGTATCACTAATTATGAAGCTAGCCCTCCAGATGTGTGTTGTGTGCCTTCAAGTAGTTTCCGACTTATGGCGACCCTGAGGTGAACCTATCATGGGGTTTTCTTGTGAAGATTTGTTCAGAAGAAGTTTGCCATTGCCTTCCCAGGAAGCTAAGAGCATGTGACTTGCCCAAGGTCACCCAGTGGGTTTCGTGGCTGATCAGGGAATTGAATCCTGGTCTCCAGAATTGCAGTCCAACACACAAACCACTATGCCACACTGGCTCTCTTACTGTATTTATTTTATTTCTTACATTTCTGTCTTGTTTTTCCTCTAAACATGGCTTCCAGGGCAGTAACATATATGTGTTGTTATGCCCATGCCTCTTCTCTACATGGTTATAATCCCACAATTCTTTTGGAACGTGGTCAGATGAGATTGAAGGCATTTTGTAGTATTTATTTAAAAATATACAGGTGAAGCATAGGTGGAGACAATACCAGATGCCAGATCCACGTTCCTAGATTTCCAGAGATGATCAACCTACTTCTCAAAGACATTTGGTTTTTTTCTTCTTCTCTGTGTATCTTTCCTTTACCCCAACCAGTTTCTATTATTTTCTGTTGAAAACTGATGTGCCCCCTCCCACTGGCTGGAGTAGAAAATGAATTTGAATCATTTTCTCCATTTCATATAATATGTTATTAATTTTTAAAAGATGCAAAACATAAAACAAACATTGATGTAGAACATGGGTCGGCAACCTTTTTTGCTGGTGGGCCGGGAGGGAAAATGGTGCTGGGGGCCAACGTGCGCACTTTCCCATGCGCGCTTCCCCACATGCGCACAACTCCCACCGTTGTGTGTATGCGTGTGCA